GTAAGCAAGATCAGCTTGGATATCTGGTCCAATCCACCTTGAGGATTGAGAAGGGCTTGGCCACCCTGACTCAAAACCAGGAGAGCTTGGAGAGGATCATTGAGCAGAAATTCTATGATCTTGATGTCAAGGTAACTGAGATTCAGTCAGTGGTTGAGCAACTTCAGGAGGAAGTGGGGGAGAAGAAGGGCAAGTCTACTACAAATGCTTTTACTAGAGTGCCCAGAAGTCAGAGGTCTGCTGCAGTGCTTGTCCCAGACACAAGAGCTACTACATCTGCACTAGCAGCCACAACTTCAGTGCCACCAGCTCCAGCAGCCACTCCACCAGCTCCAGCCACATCTACAGACGCTTTCATCCTTGGAGTCATCTCTACACCCCCTCATGAAGACCAAGCCTGAGAGACGCATAGCACTAGCATATTTTTAACTTTTTGGTACTTGTTGCCAAAGGGGGAGAAATATGTATAGATCATATTATGAGAGAGAGTGTGTGTGTGTGTTGTTTTGTCTCTCTTTGCATTTTACTTGCTTGAACTTTATTATGTGCTTGCTTGTTACATTATGTCTTTTGTGGGATACTTGAATGATCATGTGTTTGATCATATCCTACTTTAATGTGTGCTTGAATGATATTATCCTTCATATCCATTTATGATCATTCACTTTGCTTGGTGATGAGTGCATGTTTTCAATTACTATCATTTTGAGCGCTCCACCAAGATGTATGTGACATGGAAGAGTGACCCATGATCCTAACACATTGTGCACTTGCAGTCCAAAGCAAATTTTAAATAATGCACAAATTTAGGGCGAGCTCTTGTTTGTCACATACCTCTCAAAGCGACAATGTATTTCAATCTTATTATCATTTGTCGAAGCTTTGATCTATATGTTGTCATCAATTACCAAAAAGGGGGAGATTGAAAATGCAACTATCTCTGGGTGGTTTTGGTAATGATTAACAACATATAGCTCACTGAACTAATGCCATTACACGATAAATATTTCAGGAAAGTTCAATGATTGACATGGCATGGATAGGGAATGTGGACCCCTCAAAATGCTAAGGACAAAAGATTGGCTCAAGCTTCAAAGTCCAAGACTCTACATTTTCTATTTTAGTGATCCAAGATCACGTTGAGTCTATAGGAAAGCCAACACTATTAAAAGGGGATGAGGTGTTGCTTAATGGCTTGCTTGCTCAAAATGCTTAGTGATATGCTCCAAAATCCCTCAACCACTTTCTCATATCCACATATGTCCCAAACCAAAAGTCAAACTCGCCCCCACTGATTTGATCCATCCGGCGCCACCGAGTTCATTTGACATAGCCACTGTCAGAAACCCTAGTCTTTTCGGTCTCACCGAAATGGGGGTTGCAAACTCTTTGTTTCCCTTCGTAACATTTCGGTCTAACCGAGATGAGCGATCGGTCCCACCGAGTCTGCAATGTAAACTCTTTGTTTCCTTTTCGTAACGCTTCAATCCCACCGAGACGAGCGAATTGGTCCCACCGAGTTTGCCTGACCAACTCTCTATTTGCTTATTACCAAAGTCGGTCCAACCGAGTTTGAGTAATCGGTCCAACCGAGATTACGTTATGCCCTAACCCTAATGATATTGGTCCCACCGAGATGACATGTCGGTCCCATCGAAGTAACGGTCACATATGTACTAAATCGGTCCGATCGAGTTTTCTGATTTGGTCCCACCGAGTTTGGTATAATGTGTGTAATGGTTAGATTTTGTGTGGATGCTATATATACCCCTCCACCCTCTCCTCATTCGTGAGGGAAGCCATCAGATCGTGCCTACACTTCCATTACCCATTTTCTGAGAGAGAGCCACCTACTAATGTGTTGAGACCAAGATATTCCAATCCAACCATATGAATCTTGATCTCTAGCCTTCCCCAAGTTGCTTTCCACTCAAATCATCTTTCCACCAAATCCAATCCTATGAGAGTGAGTTGAGTGTTGGGGAGACTATCATTTGAAGCACAATAGCAAGGAGTTCATCATCAACACACCATCTATTACCTTCTGGATAGTGGTGTCTCCTGGATTGGTTAGGTGTCACTTGGGAGCCTCCCACAAGATTATGGAGTGAACCAAGGGATTGTAAGGGCAAGGAGATCGCTACTTCGTGAAGATCTACCCTAGTGAGGCAAGTCCTTCATGGGAGATGGCCATTATGGGATAGACAAGGTTGCTTCTTCGTGGACCCTTCATGGGTGGAGCCCTCCATGGACTCGCGCAGCCGTTACCCTTCGTGGGTTGAAATCTCCATCAACGTGGATGTACGACAGCACCACCTATCGGAACCACGACAAAAACATCCTTGTCTCCTATTGCATTTGCACTCTCCAAACCCTTCCCTTTACATTCTTGCAAGTTGCATGCTTTACTTTCCGCTGCTCATATACTCTTTGCATGCTTGCTTGAATTGTGTTAAGATTGCTTGAATTGTGCTAAGTTGTTAAAATCTGCCAAGAACTAAAATTGAGAAAAGGTTAAGTTTTTATTTGGTCAAGTAGTCTAATCACCCCCCCCCCTCTAGACATACTTTCGATCCTACAATAAGGCATTCCTCTGATGTCCGGGAGTTGCATAATCTCAGTCGGAGGAATATATATTTGACACGAAGAAAGCAGTAGCAATAAAATTGAACGATCATTATACTAAGCTAACAGATAGGTCTTGTCCATCACATCATTCCACTAATGATGTGACCCCGTTTATCAAATGGCAACTCATGTCCATGGCTAGGAAACTTAACCATCTTTGATCAATGAGCTAGTCTAGTAGAGGCATACTAGGGATACGGTGTTTTGTCTATGTATTCACACATGTATCAAATTTCCGGTTAATACAATTCTAGCATAATAATAAACATTTATCATGAATAAGGAAATATAAAATAATAACTTTATTATTGCCTCTAGGACATATTTCCTTCACCCACACCATCGCAGCTCCACGAACAATACCCCAATGAGTTTGGAGCACTCTAAATAGTTGCCTCCTGCAATGTTTTAAAGTGGCTTTGTTTGTTGCCTTGAGGATCAGATATGTTCTTCACAACGCCGCCCACTAAGAGTAGATACCATCGGCAAGGTAGTACCCCATGTTGTAGTTGTATCCGTTGACGATGTAGTTGCACGGTGGAGCTTTTCATCACAAAATCTCTTGAACAAAGGAGATCGTTGGAGCACATTGATGTCATTGAACAAACTTGGCGTGCCAAAGAAAGCATGTCAAATCCACGAGTCCTTCGATGCCACTGCTTTAAATATGATGGTGGCTTCTTTGACATGACCTTACTATGCCCACACAAACCTTTTGGATAGTTCTTCCATTGCTTGTGCATGCAATCAAGTGAGACTAACATACCTGGGATCCTCTTGGTGCTCCAATTGCCAATAATTTTTTCGTGTCCTCCACAGCTAGCTCTCTCAGATACTCTGCTCCAAACACCTTCACCATAGTGCGTGCAAATCACACCGTGGTCTGCAGGGCCGTGCTCTCTTCCATCCCGATTTCGGTATCAATTGCATCGGCGGCCTTCCCATAAGCAAACATCCTGAGAGCAGCCGTGCATTTCAGAGGAGAGAAAGAAAGTTGTCGCAACAATTCTTCCTCAGCTTGAAGTTGTCATGAGCCTTCTCCACGGTAGTCACTATACGCAAGAACACATTTCTGCTTATTCGGCAGTGACGTCGAAAGAAACCTTTATGGAATGTTGGGTTCGTCGTGAAGTAATCCATGTAAAGAAGCCTTGCACCGACAATCCTATCCCCGAGAATAACTCCCCGACCCTTTTATTGGAACCCTTGATATTCAGGGCGTGCTCATTTGACTTCTCAAACTCCTCTTTGATGCTCATCATCATTTCAACATTCTCATCGTCCGAATCCGATGAGGTAATGAACTCATTGAATATTAATTCGTCAAGGTCAGGGTTCCCATAGCCATCATTCCACGACGAATCCATTGATGACATGGAAATAATGACCGAAAGAATAAAAATCCGGCTCCAACATTTCATCGAACACGTAGAGCGTGAGGTGTATATATGGGGGAGTTGGATGCATCGGGACGACGTCCGGTGGCGGCGACCTGGTCGACGCCGGTGTGGGTTGCGACCTCCGGTGGCGAAACCCTGGGTTGGGGATGACGACAGAGCAACAATGGCGGGGAAACTCCGGTGACGGCTGTGCGGACGAGGACCGATAGAGAAGAGGAGAAGATTGGTCGGGCAAGGAGGAGGTGGTGGACGGATATGGGTGAATTGACGCGCGGCCTTGTGATCAAGACGTGACGGGCGCGTCCGAGTGTCCTCATATCTGCCTCAGATATGGATCGGGTGCTGGGAGTGCTAGTCAAAAAAAAATAAGACCAACCCAAAGGCTAACCCTCGTTGGCTTTTCTTTATAAGAAAAACTTCGTGAGCACCGCGCGTCCGTGCCAAGACTCGAACTCGTCAGTCCGTGCGTTTGGACGAGGTATGTGGCTTCTAGTTGACACATGCGTGCGAGGTGCGAGCCATCTAACGGCGCAGAGCGCGTTCGTGGGCGCCGATCAGAAAACTGACGTTAACTTTTTTATCATTTGTCATTTTTGGGTAAATAAAAAAACCCAATCCCCGCACACACTTGGACGCCGTGCCGAGCCGCCGCATGTCGACGCGCGCACGCAACCGAACAACCACATCCGTGCTCCCCGAACCGCTCCAAAAGACCAAAATGCATCGGAGCTATCTATGCGTCCGTCTCTTCTTCTCCACCCGATCATCCAAGCATCCGCTCGAACAAGGCGCACGAGCCGAGTTCCCCACGTCTGTCTCGGTCTGTTCGCTCTCACGTCACGCGATAAGCCCGTGTTTTTTCCGTCCCTCGCGTCTGCTCCCCCCACCTTCCCATCATCACGCGGCGCTAACGAGTAGCGACGCGGACAGGGGTTGCGTGACACTACCGGGCACTGCAACAGCACGGGAGCCATGGCGCGGGAGGAGGAAGGACCCGCAATGATGGACGCCGCGGGGCGACGCCTCCGCGTGGTCTCCGCGCACCTAGAGCCGCAGGCCGGCGCCACCGCGAGCCTCGCCGCTAACCCCACCGCCGGCGAGTACGCCCACGGTACGTCTCTCTTCTCTTCCCTCGCCCCTTGAGGTCTTTGACCCTTTGGCCTGCATGTCCTAGTTGGACCGGCCTTCAGCGGGATGCTCTAGGATTTGGATTTCGCGTTCGATTCATTCAACAGCACGCTTTAACGGGGATAGCGACTAACGCTGGCGGCGCGGTGGTGGTCAGAATCCTGTTGAGTGGCTCACGAATCGGGGCGTGGCACGGCGCATCTGCTCCGTCTCTCGCTTGCTTTTCCGTTGTGAGTTTGTTATATAATGGATTTCACTTTCCTGGAAAAGTAACATAGTACCAGAAGAGAGTGGTTGCTCCCGCACTGGACTGGGCAGGTTGTTTTGCTAAGTGTCCATAGCTTCCCTTTTTGGTTTGTCGGCACCAGGAAGGTGTGAATGGAACGGAATCCTCTATATGCAATCTGAAAAGCTTGAATCGCTTGCTGCAATCTGATCGGGATGCCTCTTCCTGAAAGGCTGAGTGCAAGGCTGTAGCTTAATCCTGGCTAAAGCAAACTCAAAAAGTACCAAATAAATTGGAATATTCCTTGCTACTTTTTGGGCCTGTTCGTGATTATTGGAGTAGTTTATAGTACTCCTATGTTTTTTTATGAATCTACTTAGAACTCTAGTGCATGGTTTTCCTTGTATGAACAGTGGTGTTATTGGTGTATTCAATGTGGTTTGCAAGAAGCCCCACCATGCCAGGCTTGGACCTTCTCTCTTTCAGACATTTTAGCGGAACAATGTATTTCTTGATACAATTTTACTTGATCTGAGCCTACCTCTACATCTCTCTAAATTCGTACCCGTATCCTGATCTGAAATGGACAGAGACAGACAGTGGTTTTGTTATTAATTGTATATACCTCATCTCGACCCTAAGATCCTAACAGCAATTGTCAAATTTGCCGCTCAATTGCTAAGCATATGTGTTATTATTTGGAGCTTTGCACATTTGAGTTTAAATGGCACGTGCCCCAGGGATAATAATGCATGTGTTTGTCCTTTGTTTGAGAAATGGCTTCTTAAAAAATAAATCGATCACTAACGATTCAATGTACTCTCGATTTCACTTAGCATTCACTAGCACCGATTTTTTATTTTGTGAAATAGCATATGAAGAAGAAACTATCATTGTTAACTCAGTGCGCATATCTTCTTCAGTGCAGGGCTACAGCGTTGTTCTGCCTGAAAAGTTGCAAACTGGAAAGTGGAATGTGTACCGGTAGGTTATTTATATGTTATAAAATGCATTTTCATATACTGTTGCTCACAATTACTGTTACAATCCTGCAGATCTGCAGAGTCACCTCTGCGTTTAATTAACAGATTTCCTGCTACTCCAGACATTGGAACACTGCATGATAATTTTGTGTAAGAGTACTCACAATTTCTTGAACATGTGAACTTCTGTTTCTTGATATCCATCTAAACTTAATCATATACTTATGTTAGCAAACTCTCATTTCGAATGATTAGTGCTGCAGTAGCCTTTCAGATTATGTCCTCCTTATTTACTGAATATATGCTAGAAAGATGGAAATTTCTAGGGAACCTTTGAAAGGCAGAGTTCAGCAAAACGACTGTCAATTTTTTTTCCTGAGGAAGCTCTCACTAAAAAAAAAGGGCAGCCCGGTGCATGTAGCTCCCGCTTGCGCAGGGTCGGGGAAGGGCCCGACCACTTTGGGTCTATAGTACGCAGCCTTTCCCTACATTTCTGTAAGAGGCTGTTTCCAGGACTTGAACCCGTGATCTCATGGTCACAAGGCAGCATGAGGAAGCTCTCACTATTTATTGCTATTTGGGCTGTAGTCTGGCAGATCCTAACTAGAAACAGAGTAATATGCAAGGGAACCTGTTTATTTATTGTACAACTTCATATGGTATCCCAAATTGTGCAGGTATGCAGTTGAGACTTTTACAGATTGTAGATATCTGGGTACAAGAGTGTGCGCTGATGGAGCAGTTGGAGAGTAAGGATCGAGTAACTGAGTATTCCTTACCTTTTCATTTTGTAGCCTTTCTCATGATTGTCTTGTTTGATTCTTATAAATGGCATATAACATTGCAGTTACAAATGGATGACGTATGGAGAAGCTAGTACAAGCAGGTCTGCAATAGGTTCTGGTCTTATTTATCATGGAACATCTGAAGTGAGTCATCAAGATCTCAACGAGCACTTGCCCTTTTGTTATTGACTAGTAACAAGCAGATACCTTGCCATATATTGCTATCTTGATATTAGCACCTCAAGTTTCCCAGATTAACTTATTTGTACTTACTTCAATTCTTTTTATCTGAACCAGGGTGCACGCATTGGTCTGTATTTTATAAACAGACCTGAGTGGATCATAGTTGATCATGCTTGTGCTGCATATTCATATGTATCTGTGCCACTTTATGATACTCTTGGTATGTTCCTATTACCAAATGATCTTTGCTCCATGTTTCAGTCATCCAGTAACATTTTCTATGTAATATACTTTCTGTAGGTCCAGATGCAGTTCAGTTCATTGTGAACCATGCAACAGTAGAAGCTATTTTCTGTGTGCCTCAAACGCTAAGCACTGTGAGCTTTAATCCCTTATTGCAACCTTAAATGATGACTGTTTTCTAAACTCCATAAAAGTTGGACCTTCCCTACAGTTTCAGCTAAAAAAATCCGTAGAAGTTCTACTACTCATGCCATTTCTGATACCCATTGTCAAGTCCTAATTAGCAAGGCTGGCAAGTAGCTAATTATTTCCAGTAATTTACCTATACTTCTAGGTGTTAATCTCATCCTGCTATGGTCTTAATTTATGTTGAATATGACTCTTTATGAGGGGCTTCACGATGTCATGTCAAATACTTATTTTCTGGACTGACTGTATCAAGTATACAAAAGATTAATGCGGCCGGTATTGGGCCTCTATCTTGAAATAGATTTTACTTGGACTTAATCCAAATGTTATTATAGTTTGAAACACTACATCAGTTTATAGATACCTATCAGCATTCAACTATGCATTGCATCAGGTACATTTGGAAAGAAGTATATATAATTTCCAGCTATGATCTTAACTATATCAATCCCTTGATTGCAGCTGCTAAGCTTCCTAACTCAAATGCCATGTGTTCGTCTTATAGTGGTAAGCGTGGACCATTTACAATACTTTATGCAATGTAGCGGTGATGTTTTTACGAGAACTTCTCTTCTGTATTTGAATCTTCTTTTTTGTATAGGTAGTTGGTGGAGACAATGCAAATATGCCATCTGCAACAGCAGCTGCTGGAGTGGAAATCATAACTTACTCCAGGTTACACAGCCAGGTGGGCTCGCTAATTGACCCTTCATTTAAAAAAAAACATCTGTTTGTTGTGAATTTTTAATGATACATAAGAGGTTTTCCTGTTGACGGCCGGATCCCCCCGGGGTAGGCCTATGATGAGGATACGGCCCGACAGGCCCTCCCTGCCGAGTCTTCTTCGAGCATACCACTCGGCTGGGCCGGCATCATTAATTCCATCTGGCTAAACTGCATCACGACGTTCATCCGACTGAACCGGTCGTGGCGTTACCAATGGTGCCATAAACCTCAGTTACACTATGATATCACCAATGGTGCCATCAAGGCCCTGGTAACGACCAACTTAAGTGCGCCGTTATCAGGACGTGGGCATAGCCATTGTATTCTCTGCTTCGTCACCCTTAAGGCGAAGTTAGAGTAGAATCCAGAAAAGCTCAGTAGAATCACCGAGATCCACAAGATCACTCGGACACTACATTGTAACCACATTGTTCATACAAGATAGAAACATCCAGGAGTAGGGTATTACCCCTAGAACAGTGGCCCGAACCTGCATAAAACCTCCATTGTGTGAAATCTTGTACCTAGATAGTCCATGTGTGCCTTGCCTCCACAAAAATCCCCAAATCATGCATATTGCCACAAAATCCCGCGACACCTATGCAAGTCAATTCTCATAGGCTGCGTGTATCATGATACTCATTGTGTAGTTTCATTGTGCGCCTACTTGTAAATTCTAAGGGTATATAATGCAACATTTGAACCACAATTCCTGAGAAATGAACTAGTCAGCTGCACTTCGTCATGTCTGCTACATTGTTTAACTTCTAACCCATTTGCAAGACTTGTTTTGTACACAGTAAGTTGCTGTGACAATTAGCTTCTGCTTATGTTAGAACATGCTGCGCTTAGCTTGCCGTGTAAATGGTATATGGTGAAGTTTTTCTTCCTTTTTGGTTGAAAATTGCTTAATGCAGAATGTGAAATTCGATTATCCAGTTGTAAGTAAACTGACTGGGTGATGTGTGTATGTTTATTCTGGTACAACAGTTATTTCTCCCCATTTTGTGAACCTTGTATCGCAATGGGACAATTACCGTGCTAAAGCTAGCCAGGATGCTTGGCTGCAAGTGATTAAAGGTTGGGATGAACACATATTTGGGAGAGTATGTCTATTCTTGTCTGCGTGAAACTTAGATATGTGGCATCGTGATGACATTAGTGGATGCTCAGGCTCTTAACCTTTCCTAACACAGTACAAACTCT